TCTCTCTCTCTCTCGATGTAGAGAAAGAAGGGCACATGTGCAGAAGGGAACCATGAGCACCTCCCAGCCTAGCACACCTTGACCTTTCCCCTTAGATTAAAAGACTGATGATTTTCTGTGTTCCAGTGATCAATGATTAATGAAGGGGTGATCATAGTGTCTTTTTCTGCCTGAAGAAAATCTGAAACCTGTGTAATAGAATTCACAGCAGATTCCTTTGATACCTCTCTTTGCGTTTTTTAGGAAATAGTAACTCATTGGCCAAAAGGACATTTGTTTAGATATGTATAATGTTACTTATTTTGGTTACTATAAAGAGATTATAGTTGTACATGTTTTTATGCTTTTTAAAACTGATTAGTAGTCATCTATTCTCAGAAGTCTGTGTAATGCAATGCAACCAGCAAATCAAATATGGCTGATCTTATCTTGATCTAATGTGTCGAATGACATTCATAACATAAATGTAAAAGCCAGGCAAATAGATAAATAATTATATAAGCCTTTGTTTTACTATACAAGTTCACCGATATTACATAGGCCTGTGAATGAATGTCATGTGCTCACATAGGACTTTAGGATTTCACATATGAATATGCGTTTAAGTAAGAAAGCACCTATGCGCCTTTAACAGGCTGGGAATTGTAGGATGGCAAGGCTTAGATGTGCAAGGAGGCCTCACGATGCCTCCTAATGATTGATTTTCAATCAGGCCTTTTTAAAATTCTCTTATTAGACTACAGACAACTGTGTCCAAGAGTTTTTAAGTTTTCCAGATCCCATAGAAATAACCATATAAGCACACACACAAATGTAATTGGTCTTTTTTTCTACACGTTTTCCTTTACAAAATTTTTATTATTAATATGTGTGTGTGACACACACACACAAATGTAATTTTTCTTTTTTCCACACGTTTTCCTTATGTTTTAAAAATAATAATTATATACACACACACACACACACACACAAATGTAATTGTTCTTTTTTTCTACAATGTTATAAGTTTTCAAGTTTCAAAAATAATGTCACTAAATGGATAGCATTTTACTTAACATAATGTAAAAGTGCATTAAGGTGGCTTCATCGTTTAATTCATTCAGCTACATATTTCCATTCTTGTGCTTACTTTCTAAGTTTTAATTTGGATAATGTTAATGCATGGGTGTATTAATGAACATATTCATATTTTTTTCTTTTATTTGCATGCACATATCTACGTAGGCAGTTTTTTAAAAAAAATTAAAAAAATCAAAACGTCCTCCTTTATATTCACGACACCATGGTAGTCTGTAGTAACTACTTATTGCCAATAAATAAATAAATAAATAAATAAAATAACTATTAGTTGTCAAACTTAAAATGTACGTCCATCCACGTGCTGATTTGTCAAAACAAACTCGGCTTCACACTTCCGGTAGACGGGCACATCGCTCGTTCCTATTGGCTCTTTTCTTCCCTTCACTTAAAACCCCGCGTTGTCATTTCCTTTTCCTTTTCAGCCATTTTCCGCCACAGACGGTATGTGTATTTACTCCGGCATTCATCAAGTTTATCCGCCGTAATCCTTGATAATGCTTCATTATATGATAATTTAAGTAGCCCGTCTTTAAAGTGCAGTTTGTTTTATGTGCGAACTCGGCTGTATTGTCGGTGTTACACATTACTGAGAGATGAAATGAGATAGTTAGTACGCTGTATTCTGTCGCGTTTCCATGCAGCCGAGCGCTTGCGCGAATATCCAAGTGTTTGAAAACCTAAATAAACTTTATCAGACTTTATCATAAACTCAAAGTTGTTCTAACAGCTTTCGCATGCGCGCTATTCTTTGTAAAGGTTATAAAACTATACGAGTTTAAAGTGTGTTAATGCTGGGTGAGCTGTGGAGTGTCTGTGTACTCATTGCTGTAACGTTTCTTTTTCACCAGGAGTGAACAATCATGGCTCCCAGCCGGAATGGCATGATCTTGAACCCTCACTTTCATAAAGACTGGCAGAAGAGAGTGCGCACCTGGTTCAACCAGCCTGCCAGAAAGATCCGCAGGTAACACACACGTTTGTGCTGCAAAATGGGGTTTAACAGTTTATGGAAAGCATCACTTAATTGGACTGCATCTTGTTTTTCTTTAGACGCAAGGCCCGTCAGGCAAAGGCTCGGCGAATCGCTCCAAGACCAGTTTCTGGACCTCTTCGGCCAGCCGTCAGGTGTCCAACCATCCGCTACCACACCAAGGTCCGTGCCGGCCGAGGGTTCACCCTGGAGGAGCTGAAGGTAATGTTGATGCCACCCCTTTTTTAAAGGGCTAGTTCACCCCAAGCTTAAATCTGTCATTTTCGATTAATCTCAAAATGCAAATAAAGATATATTAATAGGGCCTTTCGCACCGCTTTAGTTCCAAAACTAAATGTACAGTACTAAAGTACTGGGACGATTTTGCGCGAACTATTTCCCAGTACCATTTAAAGGGTTGCATTCACACCGACAGTGTACGTAAGACGGTCGACACAGTGACGTCATTTGTGCGTGGCGTTCAACAACGGAAACAAAGAAGAACAACGTTAACAACAGGAGGATGGAGGATGCTGTGATCGGAGCTGTGTGTTTGCTGTGTCTCGCGGGTTTCACAATAATGGACATGGAATGTCGACGTATAGGCTACGTAAAGCGATTGAAAGAACGGGAAGGAGGACTAAGAATCTCCAACGACAACTGGCAGTGCTACAAGTGCCTGCACTTCAGCGTCCGTCCATCTATCGCTGTTCTCCATACTTGCGAAATAAGTTGAGACAATGTTTACACGGCGTTTTAAATCATGGCGGGTGAGGGCGTTTTCATACGCGTTTGGCCAATCAGTGTCTACTTGCGTGACAGGGGTAGTACCAGTTGTGCTGGTTAGACCCTGCTCCGGATTAGGAGCTAATTTGGTTCTCGAAAAAGGCAGTCCGGTACTAAAAAAGCACCCAGTTCCGGCGGTGCGAAAATGGCAAAAAGTGGGTAGGTCCACAGTTAGTTCTGGTACTACGAAAAGGTTCCCGCGGTGCGAAAGGCCCTAATGAGACTTGAGGTTTTTGTCCCACCTTTGAAAGTCCAGGTAACCAAAACTTAAAGGGGTCCTATTATGCTCTTTTACAAAGTCTTGATTTAGTTTTGGGGGTGTACTAGAACATGCTCTCATGCTTGGTGGTTCGAAAAACGCATTATTTTTCACATAATTGACTTAATTAAAATACCTTTCTCCCCAGCCTGGCACAAACCGCTCGATTAGTTCCGGCTTTGATGATGGTCCACCTTCCGAAAAACAAAATGCGTTGTGATTGGCGAACAGCTTAGATGGTGTTTCAGTACTGCAACGCCCCTTGCTCCATCTTTCAACAAAAGCTTTTTGGCGAATCCATCACTGTACTCCCTCGTGTTGTGGAAGCTGTCCTCAGTAAAATGTTAAGTTAAAAAATAAATTGCAACCCCTGTTTCCTGACATCATCTGCTTTCAGAAGCCCAAACAAAGACGTTTGGGCACGGGGGTGAAAAAAAACATCGTTTTAGGCGGTCGCGCACCGGATGAGATGCGTCGCAGCTAGGTCGTGTTGTACTTGTAAGAATTGTTCTAGACATGCAGAAAATTTTAATGAGCCGCTTTTTGATATCACAAAGCCCGGAAACCAATGCTGTAGTCCAAACGAGCCGTTCGTTGTAGTTCTTGAAAAGGGATTTTTTTAAAACGAAATATCTCCCTTTGGAGTGGACTTTGAGATTTGTAACTTTCTAGATCTTTTTTATGCCCAAACATACACACTACACAGACTAAAATTAATAAAGTGAAAAAGCATAATAGGACCCCTTTAAATGAGTTAGTTAATTTCCAGAGTGAAAATTTCCTGATAATTTACTCACTCCCATGTCATCCAAGATGTTCATGTCTTTTTGTGTTCAGTCAAAAAGAAATTAAGGTTTTTGAGGAAAACTTTTCAGGAGTTTTCCCCATATAATGGACTTAAACGGTGGCCAACACACTGAAGGTCCACATTGCCGTTTCAGTGCAGCTTCAAAGGCTCTACACGATCCCAGCCGAGGAATAAGGGTCTTATGTAGCGAAACGATCGGTCATGTTCTTAAAAAAAAAAAAAAGTATATACTTGTTAACCACAAATGCTTGTCTTGCACTAGCTCGACTTCACGCGTTACGTAGTCATGTTGGAAAGGTCACGTGTGACGCAGGCGGAAGTACCGACCCAGTGTTTACAAAGCCAACGTGCAAAGAAAGTCAAACGCCCTTTACAAAAAAAAGGTAAAACAACGATGTCGGACGATTTTGAAGTTGGAGGACAAAATGAGATGGAGGTTTTCGCCCCTCTCCTACCTTAAAGGGTTAGTTCACCCAAAAATGAAAATTCTGTCATTAATTACTCACCCTCATGTCGTTCTAAATCCGTAAGACCTTCGTTCATCTTCGGAACACAAATTAAGATATTTTTGATAAATTCTGAGAGTTCTTTGACCCTCCCATAGACAGAAATGTAAGTAACACGATCAAGGTCCAGAAACGTAGCAAGGAGATCGGTTAAAATAATCCATGTGACATCAGGGGTTCAACCGTAATTTTACGAAGCTACGAGAATACTTTTTGTACGCAAAGAAAACCGAAATAACGACTTTATTCAACAATTCTTCTCCGCGTCACCCTAGCGCCATTTTGGAGAGTATCCACTGAACGTAAACAGCGTATGCTGTTCTGTGTCAGCTGTGTCACGCAGACGTGACCAGGGTGACGCGGAGAAGAGTTGTTGAATAAAGTCATTATTTTTGTTTTCTTTCCGTACAAAAAGTATTCTAGTAGCTTTTCGTAAAATTACGGTTGAAGCCCTGATGTCACATGGATTATTTTACCGATCTTGCTACGTTTCTGGACCTTGATCGTGTTACTTTGCTGTCTATGGGAGAGCACTCAGAATTCATCAAAAATATCTTAATTAGTGTTGCA